AAATTGATAATCGTACACAATTTTGAGGAAAGTTTTACAATTTTTAGGTCTTTTTTTCGAAACGATGGTGATAATATATATATAAAATGCAAAAACTGGGAAACCAGCCAATAGCTGAAAGTTATAACCAAATGTTGAAAAGATTGGGAAGACAGATCCAAAAATCGCCTAGAGCCGAACCTTGCAACATTGGAACAAAGCACTCACGAAAATACACAAAAAAAAAAAAAGAAAAATGAAAAAACTACTAGCTCCAAAAAGGAGGATAACCGATCCCAACAGGATAATACTCGCTCTCACCTGGACGAAACTGAGGCCAACGACCCAAACAAAAAACATAAACCTATCAAACAAAACAAACAAACACAAACCAGCAAACACAACACAACTAAAACAAAACAAATAAACTGTTAGATTTTTATTGATTGTTGTCCCACATCGGATGTATACCAAAGATGTGTATGATCTTAGTAGTATAAATATGTCTCTTGTATTTAGGTTACAATTTCACCTTATTTTATTCTCTCATATCTTAGAAGGAAATCCTTATTAAGGAAATCCTAATTTGTGGGTTATTTTACCCTAGTTGTAATTTGTTGGTGGATCTAGTAAATTTGGCGTCGCGGTTGGCGGTTTCCGGAGACGTAGGCTATTTTCGTCAAACTCCGTTATCAATTTTTGTGTTCTTTTTCTTTCTCGTCTTTTATTTATTTGTGTTGGCTTATTTTCGCTTGGAGTAGTGCTTCCCATATTTGTTAAAGGGGTAATTTTGTCTGTTGCGCTTGTTGTGATACCCCAACAAATGGTATCAGAGTCAGGTTCGTCCGAGGCTCATTCAGAGAGGCAGGCACTGCATTTGAGTTCGAGATGTCCAAGGAGGTCAAGGGCGCATCATCCTCCGAATTCATTCCGGCAAGGACAGCAATGCGGAATGTCAGACTCCCGGTGGAGATCTTCGATGGCACCAGTCATTTCGACATGTGGCAAGCGAGGTGCTGGATTGTTTATTTCAGCAGGGCGTCGACATGTCAACCGACGTTGAAGAGATGGATTGGAAAAATATCAACCGCTTAGTATGTAGAATTATTCGTTCATGTTTGTCGAGGGAGCAGAAGTACGCGTTCAAGAATGAGAACTCTGCTCACACTCTGTGGAAGGCTTTGGAGGATACATTTCTGAAGAAAAGCGGCCAGAATAAGCTCCTCATGAAGAAGCGATTGTTTCTATTTGAGTATCTGCATGACACATGGATGAATGACCACGTTACTGCATTCCATCAGTTAGTTGCAGATTTGTTGAATTTGGACGTCACATTCAGAGATAAAGATTTGGATCTATTGTTATTATCATCACTTCCAGACGACTTCGAGCACTTAGAGACTACTCTGCTCCATGGGAAGGACGATTTAACTCTTGCAGTGGTCAGTTCTACTCTGTAAAGCTATGGGTTGAGGAAGAAGAACAAACAAGAGACGAAGAATGCAACAACAGAAGATGAAGCGTTAGTTGCAAGAGGTTGGTTGAAGAGCCAAAAGAAGAATGGACGAGAAAGATCACGTTCCAAAGCCAAGCTTGAAAAAGACGAGTGTGCTTTCTGCCATGAGAAGGGACACTTGAAGAAATACTGTCCTAAGTTGAAGAAGAAGTGTAAATCTCCTCAAGATGCATATGTTGCCGATGGTGAAAGTGAAGACTAAAAAATTTCATTTGTGGTTTGACCTTCATCATCTCATCCAGACGAATGGATTTTGGATTCAGGATGCACCTACCATATGTCTCCCATAAGGGAGTGGTTCTTCAATTTTAAAGAGACCAATGGAGGGTTGTCTATATGGGTAATGATAATGTCTGTAAGACAACTGGGATATGTTAAATCCGTTTGATGAATCGCGATGGTTCCACCAAAGTTTTGACGGATGTTCAATACATGCGAGTTTGAAGAAAAATCTCATCTCATTAGGATCCTTGGAATCCAAAGGCTTGGTAGTGACTTTGCAAGATGGAGTTATGAAGGATATATCTGGCTCGCTCGTGGTGATGAAAGACATCATGAGGAATAACTTGTATTGCTATGAAGGTGATACAGTCTACAACAGTAGCAGATTCCACCAACAAGGAGTCTGGAGAAGTCAAGTTATGACATATGCGGTTGGGACATGCTGGTGAAAAGCCTTGCAAACATTGCAAAACAAGGACTATCGAAATATGTCAAATTTTGAGAACTAGAATTTTGTGAGCATTGTGTTCCATGAAAGCAGATGACAGTGAAGTTTGGAACGACTATCCATAATACCGACGGTGTTACCCCGTCATTAGGTAGAAGACGCTATTTTGTCACTTACATCGATGACTTTTCCAGAAGTATTTCGATGTACACTTTAAATTCAAATGATGAAGTGCTTGGCGTCTTCATTACACGGAAAACACAAATTGAGAATCAGAGTGGAAGGAAGATCAAGTTCCTACGAACAGACAATGATGAGAAATATACAAGTGATCCCTTTCAAGAAGTTTGTCGTAAAAATGACATCGTTAGGCACTTCACCGTTAGACGGACACCATAAATAAATGGGGTGGCGGAGCGCATAAATCGAACATAAAGTTCGATGTATATTGTCCAATGCTGGTTTGGGCAAGGAGTACCGGGTTGAGGCTGTAACATATGGGCAACACCTCATAAATTGTTTGTTGTCATCTGCAAAAGATGGTAAAACACCGTTGGAGGTTTGGTCGGGTAAATTTGTTGCTTACTATAGATCCTTACATGTCTTTGGGTATCCTACGTACTATCATGTGAAGGATTCAAAGTTAGATCCAAGAGCGAAAAAGTCTTTGTTCATGGAAATCATAATTGGTGTGATGAGATATCGTCATTTGTGTCTTGAGACAAACAAATCTGTGTTTAGCAGGGATGTTACATTTGATGAACAAGGTAAGATAAAGACGATGTAAACCCAACAGGTGGAGTTGACACTGAAGCAGGTGGATATTGATGCGATGACGAGACAACCAACTATGATCGACGAACCAATATCACAAGATTCGTCGGATGATGAAGTTTAGACTCAAGAATCATTAGATTTACCCATTGCATTGAGAAAGCCTAGACGAGAGATTCAACAACCTGCTCGATTGGCGGGTATGGTGGCTTATGCACTTCCAATTGTTGATGATGACATACCTTTCACTTTTTAAGATGCAATTTGAAGTTTAGAAAATAAAAAGTGGAAATGGGCTATGGAGGAAGAAATGTTGTCTCTCCAGAAGAATCAGACTGGAAGGTGACGCAACTACCAAAAGGCAAGAGGGCGATAGGATGCAAGTGGGTATGTGCAAAGAAAGATGGATTTTCTCAAAAGAATGAAGTGCGCTACAAGGCAAGAGTGGTGGCTAAAGGCTATGCTCAGAAGGAAGGAGTTGATTATAATGAAGTGTTTTCTCCAACTGTTAAGCACTCTTCCATTAGAATTTTGTTGGCCTTAGCAGCACAGTTGGATTTAGAGGTAGCTCAACTTGACGTGAAGACGACATTCTTAAACGGAGATTTAGATGTGAAAATCTACATGACTCAACCAGAAGGATTCAAAATTTTTGGAAAAGAGAATTGGGTCTGTAAGTTGAACAAATCGTTGTACGGACTGAAGCAGTCTCCGAGACAGTGGTACAAACGGTTTGATAAGTTCATGATTGGGCAGAATTACACACGAAGCAAACATGATCATTATGTGTATCTACTCAAGTTGCGAGATGGATCTTTCATTTACTTATTCTTGTATGTGGATGACATGCTGGTTGCATCAAAGAACCAAGTGGAGATTGATAATTTGAAGACTCAGTTGAATCAAGAGTTTGAGATGAAAGACTTAGGAGAAGCTAAAAAGATACTCGGGATGGAGATAAGCAGGGACAGAATGAGAAGAAAACCTTGTTCGACTCAGAAGCAATATATGAATAAGGTACTACAGCGTTTCGGCATAAAAGATGAGTCGAAGCTTGTACGTACACCACTTTCCCTTCATTTTAAGGTAAGTGCCCAGTTATCGCCAAATTGTGATGAAGAACGAGAGTACATGGCTAGAGTCCCATATGCAAATGCAGTTGGCAGTTTGATGTAGTGATGGTGTGTACAAGGCCTGACATTTCACAAGTAGTTGGTGTTGTTAGTAGGTATATGCATGACCCTGGTAAAAGTCATTGTCAAGCTGTAAATGGATTCTACGGTACATTCAACGTACTGTAGACATTGGATTTTGTTTATGAGAAGAATGAATTTGGTCAGTGTGTGGTTGGATATTGTGATTCTGACTACGGGGGCGATTTGGATAAGCGAAGATCAACGACTGGATATTTGTTCACTTTTGCGAAAGCTCCAGTCAGTTGAAGTCTACCTTACAGTCAACAACTTCTTTGTCTACAACAGAGGCAAAGTATATGGCGGTTACTGAAGTTGTGAAGGAGGTTATTTGGCTTCAAAGTTTGCTTGAAGACTTGGGAGTTGGTCAAAATCACGTCTTAGTGCATTATGACAGTTAGAACGCTATTCACTTAGCGAAAAATTAAGTTTTTAATGCAAGAACGAAACATATTGATGTTCGCTATCACTTTGTGCGGGAGATTCTAGAAGATGGAACTGTTGTGTTGAAGAAAATCAAGACGACGGAGAATCCTGCAGATATGATGACCAAGGTAGTGACATCAGTAAAGTTTGAACATTGTTTAGACTTGACCAATATTCTGCATATTTGACTTGGCGTCGAGAGGCCCATTTGGTGGCACCGCTAGCAGTTGAGTTAGAGGGGTAATTTTATCCGCTGCGCTTGTTGTGATACCCCAACATAAACAACTAAAAGGAACGAGCCCTTCCTCAGCACATCGACCAAACGAAAACCAACAAACAGTAACCAACCCCACAGAGAGATTCGCAACCCGAGAAACCGCGCCCAAAACTGTCGAAATTCCTAGTTAAAATGAAACTCAAGCCCCCGAACCAAAACCTAAGGTCATCTTCCCTCCGACCGAGAGATACCAATCTCGCTCCCCACGCCACCAATGCTCCAATGCTCCGAAACCAGGCCAACACCATTAGCCAATTTCCGCGGCACCAGTCTCTCCCCGTCCCAACACCACTAGCCAATTTTTTTTTTTTTTGGTACATGAAAGGAGGCAAAAAGCCTAAGGTTGTGGAACGGTCACATTACGTGGGTAAGATACACCGATAAGATCGTGTTCTAGCCACGGTTTCAATCCCATTGGCGGCACATCCAGATATTGAAGACCACTGGGGCTGGTTGAACCTAAAGAAGCCAGATAATCAGCAGCAAAATTCGACTCGCGCCAATCATGCAATAGTTGAACAGTCCATTCCCGAGCAATCAAGTCCCGTATCCCTCTAATTAAACTTCCATGCATCCCCAAGCCATCATGCAGTCCATTAATCATTTGCACTACTCCCTGATTGTCCACTGAGGCAATAACCTTCGAGCATCCCAACTTCCATGTCAATTGAAGCCCCTAAAAGAGACCCCATAGTTCGGCACCGGCAACTGTTGTGAAACCGGTATTCATTATAAAGCCACTCACCCATTGGCCACACGAATTACGGACCAAACCTCCAGCACTAGCCATTCCAGTCGACACATTAAAAGCTCCATCTGAGTTCAATTTAAACCACCCCTCAGGCGGTGCTAGCCAACGAATCATGCGATTCTCTCGGGTGAGACCATTACTCAAGAAAATTTTCCCATGCAAAATAGCCGACTTAATCCCCATAACATGCAGGTTCACCTCTCGCAAGCACTTTCCCACAGGAAACTCTTCATTTTAAAAACATGGCAATTTCTCCCGTTCCAAATTTTCCACATTGTTACCCCAAAAAAGCAGCTCCAGTCTTCCATTTCTTTAGCAGCAGCCGAGCAAAGGTTATACCATAGCCACTGTTTTAACTCTAAAGCAAAGAAGTCGGGAAGCTTGTTACCTGGAATAAGCTGCATCCAAACTTGAGACGCTTTCGGACAGTCCCTCAGAGTATGCAATATCGATTCTGGAGCTAGGCCACACAACTCGCATGTAGACGAGGAAGCGAGGTGTCGACGGCAACGTTCTGAGTTCGTCATCAAGCAATTTTTGGCCACCAGCCACATAAATTGTCGGATCCGTTGGGGGCCAGCCCACTTCCAAATAACTCGCCACAACCAAGGATCAGTCGTAATCACGTCATCGGAGAGAGAATCGTAGGCAGATTTCATCGTGAAACGGCCATCCACCGAAAAGCCCCAATACAGCAAGTCGGGGCCACTCGTTTCACCCGGCGGCGGCACTGCAGCAATTTGAAGGAGAACTTTGGCCGGCAATAAATGCGAAAAGAGACTCCAACGCCATTGCCCATCGGCGGTGCAATAATTTGAAACAGTCCAGTCGATGAAAGAGTGTGGGACGAGACCCGTGCAGGCCTGGAGTAAGGTTAAATCGGATTGTAGCCATCGGTCCTGCCAGAATTTTATTCTCTTTCCGTCACCGACTGACCACCTTATACCCTTCATTAAATTATTCCAGATTTTTCCTACAGCTCTCATAGTAATGGATCCCTTTGGTAGGTTCCCGTTAGCTAATAAATTCGGGACGTTTAATTTATACTTGGCCTTCATAATTCTAACCCATAAAGTGTCGGGTCTTGTGAGGAGCTGCCAGCCTAGCTTCATAAGAAGGGCATCGTTCATTTTCCTTTGGTACTTGAGTCTGAGACCCCCATCATCCTTTGGTTTGCATACAGTTTCCCACGACACCAAAGAAGCCTTTCTATGTGTTGTAGATCCTCCCCAAATAAAGCGGCGACAATGTTTCTCCAGCTCGTCTAAAATGGAAAGAGGTAACCACACCGTTTGCATAGAGTAAAAAGGCATAGTGCTAAGGACTGACTGGGTGAGGACAAGTCGGCCCGCGAGCGACAAAGAGGAAGCTTTCCAATTTGATAAGCGGGATTCTGCTTTATCAAGGATTCGTTGGTACATGTGCTTGTTGACTCGTCCATGAACCAAAGGCATACCGAGATAGAGACCAAGGTCGTCAACTTCTGTGTAAGCCATAGATGCGGCTAGGAATTGCCTACTAGCCGGAGGTACATTAGTAGAGAAAAAGATACACGTTTTTGCTTCACTCACCTTTAGTCCCGAGATGCTGCAGAATTCGATCAGAGTGGATTTCACCATAGTGGCCTGATCATGTGTAGCTTCGACAAAAAGGAGAAGATCATCCGCGAATAGAAGATAGGGGACATCGACCTTCTCATTCCCTCGACCCATCCGAATAGGTCGCCACTGACCCGTTGAAACCCTTGCGGAGATTAAATGGGCTAGTCTCTCGATGCATAACACAAATAGATAAGGAGAAATAGGGTCTCCCTGTCGCAATCCCCGAGAAGGGCAAAACTCTTTAGTGATTACACCGTTAAATAGTAATTGCATAGAAGCTGAGGTAACGCAAGCCATTACTAACTTGATGTAGTGAGACGGAAAGCCCGCTAAGTGTAGTGTTTCTTTCAAAAAATCCCATCGCACAAAATCGTATGCCTTTTCGAGATCTACCTTCACCACCATGTATCCCTTTTTCCCCGTTTTCGTTTTCATAGTATGAATTAATTCCTGAGCTACGATAATATTGTCAGTAATGTAGCGACCAGGTACAAAACTCACTTGAGCCGGGCGAATCAAACCGGGCAGGACACCCTTCATCCTATTAGTCAGAATTTTAGTGATCAATTTGTACACCACATTCAACAAACTGATAGGCCAAAAGTTCTTGATCGTCTCAGGATTTTCCACTTTAGGGATCAGAACAATCAATGTTTTGTTCAGGAAAGTAGGCAAGATGCCCTCAAGGAAAAATTGACGAATTAGTATACAGACAGAGGGCCCCACAACCTGCCATTGTTTTTGAAAAAATAGCGCGTGAAGCCCATCCACTCCCGGCGCCTTTAGAGGGTGCATCCTCATTAAGGCGGTAAAAATTTCATCATCAGTCAAGGGCCTGTCAATTGCGGAGAAGGAAGCCCGCTCGACCTCAGGGAATAAATTTGGGATGTGAACCATCTCATCCGGATCGGGCCTAGCCGTGTAGATATCCCGAAAATAATCTGTAGTCATCCTCTGTAGCTTGGCCATCTCCGTGATAACCACCCCATTGGGGTCTTTCAAAAATATAATTTTATTTCAGCGCCGATGATTTTTGACTTGTTGATGATAAAATGACGTATACCGATCACCAAATAGGAACCAATCCCTTTTAGATTTCTGCAGCCACAACAGTTCTTCTTGCAATAAAATCTCGTCAAGTTCATCATTCAAGGTGCGCTCCAAGTGAAGAAGCCTGGAGGTGGTGTAAGTCTGAAGTTCACGCTGCACCCCCCCAAGACGGCGTAGAAGCGTCTTTTTCTTCTGAAAAATATTGTCGAAGACGTCGGTGTTCCAAGTCTGTGCTCGATGTACAAAAGTCGTCGCTACTTCTCCGTAATTCAAACTATCATTCCACGCTCCCTTAACCACCTTGCTAAAATCATCATGCAAGAGCCAAGCAGCGAGGAAACGAAAAGGCTTTCGTCCAGCTAGCACCCGAGGTTGACCGCCATATCTCATAAGCAGAGGGAAATGGTCTGATCTCCGGCGTGGGGGGTGAATGACGAAGCCGTCTGGAAATCTATCTGTCCAATATTCATTGGCAATAAACCTGTCAAGCTTTTCCTGAACATTACTCCGAACCCAGGTATACTTCAGCCCATCTGTTCGTACTTCATGCAAATTATTATTAAAAAACCATTCCGCGAAACCCGAGTCGACATTTCTACGTCGTGCTGAGCCCCCGGACTTTTCTGATGGTCGGAGCATAGTATTAAAGTCACCTCCAATGAGCCAGGGAGTGGAAATAGAGGACGCCATGTCATTAAGCTCTGACCACAAACGGCGCCTACCACGGGGTTGAGGGCTTGCATATACAAAAGTTATAAGACAAACATCACTGTCCGCCTGAACCCTAGCATGCACATATTGTCGCCGACATACAAGGATCTGCAAGTCCACTCTCTCTTTCCATAAAACCCATATTCCTCCAGAGAAACCTATAGCTTCGACTCTAAAGGAACGGTCGAATCCACTTCGTCGAATGAAATCATTCGCCTTGACGCCGCTAATTCGCGGCTCAAATAACGCAACTACATCAGGGTTTTGAGATTGGATGAGGGATTTAAACGCTCGGCAAAATTTCCTCGAGCATGCCCCCTGTGTGTTCCATGTCAATATAATCATTAAAAAAAAATAGCACGACTGGGAAAGAGAGAGTGCAACTTGTCAGAACGAGGTAGAGACACCAGTCTCCGCTGGGTCATTTCCTATCATATCCGCATCTTCAATATTTGGAGCTAAATTCTCCATGACACCTTCCATGGTCGAAAGGTCTGCCGATATGGGTGGTCGCTGGCTCAATGATGTGCCCTCAGCTCCGGTAAGTCCGTTCGTGGTGTGTACAGATGGGGAGAGAGAGGTTTCAGATGGTGGTACATGGTTATCCAAAATGATCACTGCCTTATGCTTATCCTGGTTTAAATCTGTTGGAGCGTCAAGGACCATCGCACCTAGTTGGTCCAATGCAGGTGAGGAAAGCGGCCCATGGTCGGACTTGGCGCCATTTTGATTCTGTTGGACACGAGAAGCATCTTTATGGCGACTGATTGGGCCGGTAGGACGACTCTTATCTTGCTTTTGGCCCAAGACCGTTCCACTTGAAGCCTTGGTAGTCCCATTGGACTTAAACTGAAAAGGCCCAATAGAGTCAGTATTTGACTTCGAAGTAGTGTCGCGGTTTGGAATAGCACTGCCCCGCTTCCCCTTTGTACTGGCCATTGCACGATTTTCTGTACCAGAATGCGACTTTCCTTTCCCTCGATCCACGCTTTGTCCTTCGCCTCGATTATCATATCCCGATTTTGGGTGATGCACTGCCAAATTTGTCTCTTCCATATCAGCTGAGAGCACATCAAAACGGGATCCTCCCCCTTGATTCGCGGAATGTTGTTTTGGAAAGCTATCTTGAGTCCCAGATTTTCGGGCATGTGATTGTCGATTGCGGATTTTCGCCACCATCCACTCCCCGTAACCCGTCGGTTCCTCTACTGCAGCCGATTCCGACTTGCCTGCCACCGTGGAACTGGATTCTGGCCGGTCAGGACAGGTGGAGTTTCCATGACCATATTTTCCACAGCGAAAGCAAATAGCTGGTAGTCTCTCGTATTCCACTCGTTGAACCTTTCCACGAATAGTGAAATGATCCCGCAAAGGTTTCGTGAGATCAAGTTGAACAGCTAGGCGAGCAAATTGGCCTCTTGTTTGGGAAGCTGTTTGATGATCAATCTTCCAGACCTTGCCAACAATTTCCCCAATGGTTCTAAAGACTTTCTTATGATAAAGGTGTATGGGCATCCCGGGCAATTGTATCCACGCCACAATGGACTTAATCACATCAGTTTTCACATCAAAATTTTCTACCCATGGTTGCACATGAAGGTAGTGAGTTCCAATTATCCACGGGCCTCCGGTTAGTGCCTTAAGCGTATTGTCTTGTTGAAGAAACTTCACTGAAAAATAACCATTTTGCATATCGACCATCATATCGGGAGTACGCAGTCCTGGCCACATCGAAACAAGTCTGTTAAACAGAGCTTGTAGCCCCATGGTTTTACCAAGTAGTTTTATAATGACCGCATTTTTCCATGGTTGCACACGCGCCTCATAAAACTTGTCCGACATCTGCAGAATATCTGGAACAGGGGGATCAAAATCCACAAAAACGTCTGCTACATCATTGTCCTCCTCATCATCCGAAACCATTTCGACATGTGGCCGGTTCTTGTTCAGAGTATCTTTGAAGGATGGCCGTGGGGCAGGCGACGTCCCAGGCGACTGTGACAGAGTGAAACCTGGGGTGTGCTCACGGGCTCAGGGAACACAACGTTTTCCAGATCAGAACGTCGCTTTTTGGACTTGCGGTTATTAACCAAAGTGGGCGGATTAGCTTTTGTTAGTTCAGGGAAGGCAAACTCAACGTCCTTGCTGGGGTCCGGCGGGTCTACCTTAGGATCCGTCGGCCGTACAGTGCGATCTTCCATGCCTAGATCTTCCATCCTGTTCTTTTTATCAACGGCGGAGAGAACGAAAAAAAAAATTAGCACTTGATATTTTCCTCTAGCCAATTTTTAGGTCTACTTATTTTTACGAAATTATTATTTATTATGTAAAAGGCACATGTTGCACTATCTTTTGGAATTTGAAATCGGCTCAATCTATACTTATATTAAAAGCCATACTATTTACCAAAAATAGTACTCCCTCCTATTCATAATAAGTGTCGTTTTGGGAAGTTGCACAGTTATTAAGAACATATTTTTTGCCAACAATAACCCTCATTAATGATGATAGAGATGAATGTTTAGAGAAAAAAATGAAGAGTGAATATGAAAAGACGTAGTGTATTTATTAGCTAGTTGAGGGTAATAACGAAAAAATATGTACAAAATATCCAAAACGACATTTATTTTGTTAATAGTTGATAATGTCAAAATGACATTTAAAAAGAATAGGAGGTAGTAGCAAAAAAAGTCAACTCACATTTAATGCATACTTTATTTAGAAATTTTTTACTATATGCATTAATTGCTTGCATATATACATTTTCTATTCAAATATGATCAAAAAGATTATTTTCTTAAATATTTTTTTTAACTTCTGTAATAATTTTACTGATATATATTATAATTCATATTTGTCAATAGTATTTTTTAATTTTTATTTGAGTATATAAAAAACAAATATTTTTTTAAAATTAATATTTTTTTATCATTTAAGAGATAATGATCACATCATTAAATGATATTACTGATGGCTAGATAATAAATTAAAATACATTAATTATTCTTTAAAATGTTGGCATGTTCTTTAGTTGTATCTATATTTATTATATAAGGTATCCTATTAACCAAATTTAGTAGATTAAAAAGTCAACGTAATTAATGCATTGTTATTTCTATCCAGAATTTTATTTAATTATTTTATTTATTTGTCTTATATCCCATAAAATCAGTTTAAGAAAAAAAATCTCATAACATCTGACAAGTAAAAAAAAAAGATGTAAAATATTTACTAAAAAAAGACTTTATTTATTTGTCTTATTACATATTAACATTGATTTTGTCAAAATAAATCTCATATAAATAAGTGAAGTCAAAATTTGTACGTAAAGTCTATCTATCAAAAAAAAAAGTCATATTCAAAATTCCTTATCTAATTTCTTCTTTTTCTTATCTAATTCCTTATTTTCCTTATCTAATTTTTATTATTATCTAATTGTATGAAAATCTGTTCTGATTTTGTTCAATCCTCTAATTGTATTTGTATTATATTCCATAAAATCGGTTTAACAAAAAAAATCTCATAACATCCGATAAGTAGAAAAACAAAGTACATAAAATATTTACTAAAATAAAAAGGCTTTATTTATTACTCCCTCCTATTCACTATAAATGTCGTTTTGACTTTTTTGATTCATCTATTTTGTTATGTATCTAGACATTAATATGTCTAGATACATAACAAAATGGATGAATCAAAAAAGTCAAAACGACATTTATAATGAACAGGAGGTAGTATCTAATTGTATGGAAATTTGTTCTGATTTTATGGTACGTACTACAAATTGTGCACCCGTGTTCAGGAGCTACTTAACGGGCAAGCTCTGTGGAAATGACTCATTTAGTGCTTCTGTCACGTGCATACAGTATATATTTTTATTACACATACTAGAAAATTGTGCACCCTGTGCATCGCACGGGCTCTGTACTAATAAATGACCTTAAAATTGTACGCCTCGTGCATCACCCGTGTTCACATTTTGGCCTATTACATATCACGTACTATATATATCCCGTACATTTTTTTATTCATTTATATAATTATAAGAATGGATAAATGATCTTAAAATTATGCATCTCGTGCATCGCACGGGCTCTGTATTAGTATTATCTTTAGGAGGTGTAATGATTTTTTATTTTTATTTTTATTTTTAATTTTTTTCCCTTTTGTTAGCTTTTGCCATGAAATTGCACTTTTCGGTTGAGATTATAAACATCCTAGCATTTTTAAGAATAAAAAATTATATTAAATAAAATATCATTTATTTGAAAAGAAAAATACATGGAGCATTGTTTCTGAATATGGCCCAATGCCTAATAATATTCTGGGCCGGCTATGATTGAACTTGTAGCTTGATCGATCTGAATTTTAAAACCTTGGTTATTAATATGCCCGTTAAATTTTTTACCATTTGAGTCAATATCAATGGATATTAATATCAAGGGAAGAATTAAGAACACCATCAAATGAACTCAATTTTAGCCAATTATTAACTCAACTAAAAATTTGAGAACTCTCACTAAGTACGGCCTTGTAGTAAAATCAGAAGTTTGATTAGCATAGTGAGTAAAAAAAAA